TATTACTTATTACTTATTACTTGAATGTATGGATCACTTGGGTTGTTACCAACATCTGGTAAAAATTTCATGTCATTAGCACCTCTAGTAATATATTTACTGAGAAAAATGTTGACGTGTTCAATACTTATTTTACCCGCTGTATATATATAAACTTACATGGAGCAAGTTTKAAATGTGGTCCACACTCAATGTAAACAATGTAGACAGCTGAATCTGTCAAAACCACATGGAAGCTTGAGACACATGATAAACAACTGACCTATTTTCAGCCATTTTAGCTCTTTCTGTCGGTAAACAAACATGCATTATTTGGCACCTGATCATAAATTTAGATTACAATTTTTAAATTAAACATAATAATCATATTTAGGGGAATAATATTGTGCAGATAAGACTCCTCTGCAAGGTTAGCTTTATTCAAACCTGTATCTGTACTAAAAAAAAAGAAAAAAAAAAGCAATGGCATGATTATATTTCTCCTAGAGGCTTATCAAAATTGTTTGTACTTAGGTCAAACTAAACATTGCTGCATTTCTACTGTTTTTTGAGTTGTAATTTTAACAAAGCAATATTTTACATCTATATAAATTATTGCTATTATCTTAATAACCTCTGGTAACTGTCGTTTCTGGAGATGTCGTATCTTAATGTTCTAATAAAATAAAGATGTTGGTTTAAAGAAAAAGTCATCTTGAGTTGTCACAATCTATCCCACACAGATCAGTCAAAAACTATTTCTTGTTTCAGCTTTAAAGACTGGAGTCAAGTCTTAAAGGAATGTTTTGAAAATCACATTTTTGTTACATTTGGACAGAGAATTAGAAAACAGCAGAGTCTTGGAGGAGGAGAAAACACAGACGCTCTGACCTAAAAAAAAAAGGGGGGGGGGGGTTAACATGCAGGTAAAACCCAGCACTCAGTTCTTACAGAGCAGCTGGCATACCTGCAAACATCTGAGTGCATGCTGGGCACATGCAAAAAATAAAAATGAAAAAACACACAAAAATCAGACACATGAAGGTGTGCATTTATTATGCGTGTTTAAAAAGTATTAGACTTTTTAAACTCTTATAGTATTCATTTTATGGTCATAAAGTAGTTGTTTGCTCGCCGCWGCAAAGCCACTGCCTTTTAATATATTCATCTGTCTGTTAGCAAAATATTTGATGTACACATTTTTTGATTCAGCATGGCTGCCAGAGCTAATTAACTTAGCAAACACAGAATTAGCTTTAATTCAGGCAGTTATACAGTTTTTTATCTAACGTTTGAAGTGGTGTTCACACATCAACTAACTTCTTTTCCAACTACTAAAGCAGAGGAGCCCAAAGTGGGGCACATGGGCCAAATTTGGCCCGCCAAGCCATTTGATTTGGCCCACCAACAGTTGCCAAAGTTACAAGGTAACCTGTTATCCTATAGGTAGAAACACAGTGTTTCCATTGGTCAGATGACTATATAAAAGGGCTGTAGTGAAAGTAGTTTTCAGTCATGGTGCTGACATATCTTCAATTTATTAGGATTAAACATGAAACATGAAACGACAACAAGAAATATTTAGATCAGATTTAACCACATGTTGATTTGCACACTTTATAAGGCCGCAAAAACTCATATTTTATCAATTTATGAAATGTCCCATGAGCCTTTGCTACTTGAGCATATGGCAGACTAAAACAAAAAAGGGCCGCTGCACAGGTTAATCATTAAAAATAAAGGACTTTACTTTAAAAAGTATTTGTATTTCATGTTTTATATAACTGCATTTGGCCCACATCCATGGATAGATTTTCGTTTCGGCCCCATCGGGGAAAATGTTTGGGCACCCCTGTACTAAAGGATCATGAGAKCTGTTTAACACCTTGCTGTAAACTATTTGAGTCAGTCCTGGTGTCTGTTAGCAAAATATCTCCAGATTCACTGGATCAAATGTAATTAAATGTTCAGTAAGGATTGGATGGACAAGTGATTCGATTCTGGAGTCAGTGTGATTTTTGATGGTCTCCACACCTAACTGAGCTCAGCAAACACACAACGGACTACAGCTCTGTGGATTTTACAGTAACYGAGCCACATTCTGGTGTGGTAGTAGCTGAAAGTCATCCCCAACACATTCTCTGAGTGTGTTGAGTCACACAGGCCTTCGCAGCGTTTCCAGCCTGCCTCGGCAGCAGATGATGAGGGCTGCGTGTGCGTGTTTATCAGCGTGTTCTTGTACGAGGAGCTGTTATAAAGCGCGGMTCAGAGGCAGATGTGTCGTATCGCCACCTAAACGCACGAGATCAAAGCCAYGAGGCCCAGGGGTCAGATGTGAACGCTGGGACGCAGAGCTTTGATGAAGATGTGAAGYTGTGTGTTTCATTATTGATGACATCCTGCCACACTGATGAGAGAGAGAAAAAAAACTTCTGTTTTAATGGAATTAAAATGTTCAACCTATAAAAACAAATGAACAAGATTTAGTTTTGGGGAAATCCAACATTTAAACCAGCTGGTTCAKTTGGAGTAAATGAATATGGATGTTCAGTGCTTTGCACTGTGACCTACAAATTACAATTCTGTAGCGCTGTTTAATTATTAACAACACTTCATGTGCAAGTCTTAAGTCTCATGTGTGCTTTCTGTTCAGAAACACATAAATCAATTCACAAGTGATGTTTAATTTGATTCTTTAAGGGTGTAATTTAGAAAAAGAACAGACTATCTTTGAGTGCTCGGTGGAGGACAAATATAGTGCCCGTTGCCATGGTTAAGACAGGAAACGCATCCCCACTAACCGAGCAGCGAGCAGCATGAGGGTGCACACCTACACAGGTGCCCCCTCCTCCTTCACCACGTGCAGATCAGACCAATTCTGTCTCACATGTGCACAAGAACATAGGCTATTTTTACATCTGTTAACCAGAGACGTGTGTTTGTGCTCAACGAGAACCTGTGGAAGATTTTTTTTAAATTTTAAAAACAAGTTGACTCACCGTCACAGTGGGGATGGCGGTGACGAGGGAGTAGACAAGGACAGGCGGCGCCTTACTGTAGTCCTCCGGTCCCGGGTATGGCTTTGAGTAGGCTTTGTCAAAACAGAAGAAGCCCTGGATGTGCACGGGGAACGTGTCCGTGTATTCGAAGTAATACGCCAACAGAACCGTCCCTGCCATGATGACCAGCTGGAAATAAAACATATTGGTCGCAGAGTCAGAATCAAGTCCGCTGGAGTTGGATAATTAAAAAAAAAAGAAAAAAAAAGGCAGCCGAGGAAAAAAGTAGATAATATTGTTTTTTTTTTTCTTCCCTTTTCACAGAGCAAAATGATGGATGCTCCCGTAATGTGCAAAGTGACCCATTTGTGCATGGAGAGATAGTGAGGGAAGAGGGTTGAGAGGGCGGGAAGTAAAGACACAGATGGAAAGAGACAGATAAAGAGAAAGCTGGAGAGGAGGAAAGAAAGCCGACTGAGATTGAGAGATCCCTTCAGCAGTGTCAGCGTTCCGAGTAGGAGGGGAGGGAAACAAACGGAGCCCGCTTAAAAAAGGAAAACGCTTCATGGAGGAGCAGAAGAGGAGCCGAAGAAGGATGAGGGGGAGACAGATGGGTGAGAGGAGAGAACGAGAGTTAAAAACAGAGACCTTGGTTGAGTAGAGGGAATAAGACTGGAAGAATTATATATGCATGTGTGAATTTCTGCATAACTTAACTTACTGCTCCTCTGACATTTCTAACATTTCAACTGCAACAAAAGCACAAGTCCTGAAGCATAAAATATAATCTGAATACCTGATAAAAATGCAAAATATTCATATGCATTTTATAACAGATTATGTAAGATAAGATAAAACAGATGAACTGGTATTAACCATTCATTAATAATCCAGTAAACTCTCTATTAGGAACTACAAACTTGCTGTTTCATATCTTTGCCCTTCAGGAGTGAGCTAAAACTGCTCAACTAAGACAGGAACCGAGTTCAAACATTAAGAACTGCTGATTATTTTCACCATAATCCGCAGCCTGAATGTTTGCTTGATGAACTTCTGTCGTATCTGAAAGAGAAAATTATCAGCAGCAGAACACRAGGAGCCTCTGACGGCAGGATGAGCTCTAACAGCTGCAGGGACGGAGGGGCCGAGTGTCTGGTACAATTTCTGCAGACTGGTGGCTCCTCAGAGAGGTTACAGCAGGTTCGTTTGTAACTATAGAAAATATTATGTGTATATATCAAGATAACAATAAATCCAAAAATTTTAAACATAAAATATTACTTTTCCTCACTGGCATTATGACCAAAAATAAATAAAATTCCTCTGTAGGAAGTCAGACCAGAAACTGAGGTTGCACCAGACTAATTGCTGAAAAAAGTCATGTTTTTGAATGTTGAAGTGTTTTTTCTGCTCTTTTAGCTCAAAATAAATTTAGGTGTGTTCATGTAACATCTGTATGTTAGAATATATGAACCCCCAACATCATGTAAATGCACAATGTGACCCCCATACAGCTCCATCAAGTGCCATCTGTGTGTGAAAAACATGATGCTACAATCTGAAGAACCACCTCCATGAAGGCTTTTGGAAAAAAAATAAAAACTAACCGTATCATCTTAGCTGAATTCTTAATAGTCTTGGGAAATTTCCAGATTTAAAGGGGCAATATCATGTAAAATAAACTTTTTTGAGTTTTATATCATGTTATAATGTTATACTCTCATAAAAAACATGTCCAAAGCCTTGCTTTGACTCATTCATGCATGTTTGAGAAATCTTGCAGCRTTTTTAGGAAGCCATGCTGAGGAGCAAAACGACAGGTGGTGACCAGAAATTCCTTTTGGGACCAGAAATGCCCCTGGGATGTGTCTTTAAGCCAAACTTCCTCATCACGGAGCACACCTCCCCACCCCCCTCCCCGCACGCCCTGCCCATGACTCCTGCAGGCTTCTGCTGAGCTCTCAACATTGGTTCTCACTCGGTAAAGCTCTTTTCAGATTAAAAATACCTTTGAGGAAATGTATTTTCAGATGCCAAGTAAACTGCATCATGGCAGCCCCCCCCCCTCCCCCTTGCGAGACAGAAGCGGAAGGTGGTTCTTAAAGAGACAGAGGBCAATTTCAAGGYGTTTAGAAGAGGAAGTGATGAGAAGATAAGTTTATTTTCTATTTAAACACAAAAACAGCATTTTAATAACAGCTAAAGGTGACATAGATATTTTATTATGGTATAGTGTTTAAATATATGCCTGAAAAACACATATTATTGGCCCTTTAATAGAAGCTGTAGTCAGACTTGTTTGTTGCCACACAAATTTGTAAGATTAAACTTATTCAATAAAGTATTTATTTCATGTAAAAAGAGTTAGAAATTTGATTTTAATTGAGTTGTGTAGTGGATTAAAAATAAAAAAAAAGCAGAGACGGGGGGTGGTGGTGTGTTTAAATTCTCTAAAAATAGGACAGAAAATATGTTTTTGATGTGTGAGCTGTAGCCAAACTGGTCCCAGATGGTCTAAATTAAATAGTTTTGATTCCGTTAATTTCTAAAGTGTTTTATCTTAAATCTGGGGAAATTATTGTCAAGATGTTGTTTAGTTTATGAATTCATTTCGATTTGGTCTGATTATTAGCAGAAATGAGACTAAAAGGTGTTGTAAAGAATGTTTGGATAAATGAGCACCAGTGGATGTTTAACAGTGGCAGATGGCTCGGAGTGAAGAAAACCACTGAGCAAACCTCCTCCTACATGTTTACCCTCTCAGCAGAGACAGCGTCCCCTCGTAAACTAACGCTACAGGCAGGAGAATGGGAGACTGGCTCTGCGTAACACTTTTCAGCTTTAATTTCAACCGATCAGCGACGGTAAACAGTGAAAAGAGAGGATGACCTAATTTAAACTCCTTTCTGATCTGGGTGCTTTCTTTTCCAATTCAATGCAAACTTGTGTAATAAAAAAATAAGAATAAAAAAATGATTTACTTGTCTCATACTCCTTTTCACCTGGGGTCCACATTAAAGTGAACAACATGCAGGAAGCTTGGTGCAGTAATGACACACACCCCTCAGGTCTTTCGTGCTCATTTTTCTCTACAAGAGCTTTTATTTGTGATTTTTGCATTTCKGAGCACAGGTGTGTGTCGGTTCTGWGTGTGTGTGCAGGCATGTGGGTGCGTTCCTGTGTCTCATGAGGAATTTGGACACGGCAACGCTGCGGCGAGCTTTTTCGTTTTCCATCTAGCAGCTCTCCCTTTCTGCACAAGCTACAGAAGGTTTGAGGGAGGTGCGGAGAGGTGGGAGGAGGGAAACGACGCAAACTCGCACAAGAGGTTTAAACAAAYGCTTGGAAGACGAGCCTTCACTGGAGATTTCTGTCTGACAGTCTCAACTCCACTTCTGAGCAACGAAACYTGTCAAAGTGGTTACAACTAAGTTATTGTGACAACTTTTCATAACAATTCTTCAGGATGTGTCACGGTTGACGTTGGTTGTGGAACCCAAAATCGAAGACTCGAGAAATTCCAAACAGAACTTGTAACAGGGCACTCAGAGGCAAACACAAGGGACCTCACAATGATATAAAAAAACGTACAACACAGAATTGAGGAAGACAGAATATAAAGAAACACTAATGAACCTARCCTTGTAGCGTATTCAAYTGAATATAGACTGAAAAGGATTTTCAAATCATCTTATTCTGTTTTTATGATTTGCACAACATCCCAACTTCACTGGAACTGTGCTTGTAGTCGAGCTATAACCATTAATGTTTTTGCTGAAGTTGCACARCTGAAGAGGTCATCTAGAATTAGACCGACTCCACAAGTGAATCAGTTGTAGAAACATTTCCAATAATTACTTTCTGAAAGTTTTGTTGAAATCAGTTCAATGAATTGTGACAGAGATTTTTTTTAAGTACAAACGATCACACAAATACATTATCACTCTGTCTTTGCCTYAGATGGGCAATAAAAACAGGTAATGTGTTTGTTTTTTAATTAAATGCAGGCTTATCCTAAATGTCATTAAGCCCACATCCCTACTTATCAGACAGAACTTTTTCTTTCTTTCTAAATATCCATAAAGGTCAAAGCAACTTTCTGCTGATGGTTTTTTAATTAGAATCAAAGTACTGCAGCACAAGTCACCTTGGAATATTGATTTACAGAAGACAAAAGCCTCATGTGCACAAATTATACCAAATTTATTCTGCAAGAAGGTCAACAYTATTCTGTGGTTCTTAAATGACTGAATTTTATTGTGTGAATGCTGCATTCACACTATTGTTTTCATGTTTTTCTTTGCAATTCTTYAACTGTTCCATATGTTTTTCAGCACCTTTCTCGGTCAATAATTTTTGTGCTATTTCAACAATTCATATCACAACGTTCAGCTCATTTACGAAAATCCTGCTGCCTGTATTTCAGCTATTTATATTTTTCAGTTATTTCACCTTTTGCCATTGAAAATAAAAAGAGCTGTTTTCAACATCGTTAAAATCCTTCAAACAATTCTAGCTAATTTTCTGCTATTTTCTGCTATTTTAGCTATWGTTCTGCTTCTTTCTACTGTTCTTCTGCTACTTTCTATTTTTTGTTCTTCTTTTTGCTAATTTGATTTCTTACAGTTGCTTTCTGTCATATTCAGCTATTTGTAGATTTTTTTGCCAATATTTAGCTGTTATTAGCTGAAGTTAGATTTTATAGGCTAAATTCGCATTTTGGTGGATATTTCTGCTTAGTTCAGCAAACTTGTGCTCCTCATGCTTCCTTATGATAATTTAAAAATTTCGAGCAACATATAAGCTGCTTTCCTGAACATTTTGGCTGTTTTAGTTATTTTACAACAAATTGGCACTTTTTTGTACTTCTACTCTTTTTTTCTACTAACTTGACATTTTTACATGTCTTTTACCACCTGGGTGTGTATTTCAACGTGTGTCTGCTACATTTAGCTTGTTTTATGCTAATTGTAGCTTTTTTCTGCTATTTCAGCTATTACTTTGCTTCTTTTTTCCATTCTTCTGCTAGTTTCTGCTTTTTGTGCTTCTTTCAACTTGTCAAATTGCTACAAAACATTTTCAGCTCCATTTCAGCAGCTTTCAGCTGAAGTTTTCATAATCATTCACACTAGCATTTTTGCTAGTGTGAATGCTTGAGTATGATTTTAAAATTTCTAGTTGTGTTTTAC